GGAAGGATCCTTTTCTCTCCCCGATTCCCCATGATCAAGTTAAGCACAGGCAGCTTCCACTTCCTCTCCTCTTCTGGCACACAAGTCCAGGCAGGCCCTGTGACCCCTTGACCTTGCTCCCAGAGAGCCTGCCCCGGGACCTGGTTGGGGCCGGCCCACTTCTGAGCTCCATGAGGTGCCTCTGTGCAGAGGGCAGTGGCATCCATCCAGAGATGGTCCAGCCCGTGCCTGTCTTTAGCTCCTGCTCAGTCTTGGGGCGAATTCTGCTTCTGCAGCTCAACATGGGCCAGGGCAGCCTGGTCAAATGGGAGGCCATGAGGCTCTGCAGATGATCCCGGGACAGAGGTACCCACTGTGTGTGTGTGTGTCTGGGAGGGGCTGACAGAGGTGGGTGTCTGGGAGAGAATCAGGACAGACCATCATGGGCAAGGTTGCTTAAAGGCAGGCACTGAGACAGAGGTAAGGTTTTGCAGAGAAAGGCGGGGATAAGGATGTCATAACCCTCCCGGGCCAGTGAATCCAGAAAGCAATAAGAGTTGTGCGTAGCCTGGGGAGGACCCTGGTGTGCTGACCCCTCCTGCTCCCTTGAGTCCCACCCTGGCTCTCACCGTGGTTGTCGAATGTTTTATGGTGATAACTGAAGGCACTCTGAGAGCCAGACCTTTGTCTTATAAAGCTTGCCTGGGCCTGTCCACCTGGCCCTGCCCAGGGCCTGGGCGCAGAGGGGGCTGCAACACATGTCAGCTGCTTGGGAGATGGAAGGGCAGGTGAAGGTGGGCTGAGGGGCCAGGAGGAGAAGTGGAAGGGTGCAGGCAGGAGGGTCCAGGGTGGAGGGGTGGACCAGCCTAGGGGTGAGGACCACCAGACGGGATAAGGGCAGACTGCGACCAAGTGACATCTGAGGTCACGGTGGGGGCTCTTCCCGGGGATGGAAGGCCAAGGAGCTGAAGGGAGCTTGCACAACATCTCAGAGACAGTGTCAAGGCCTTTGGGGGCCACGGGTGGGTAGGAGTGAGAATGAGGAAGGAAAAAGGGCAGGTCTGGGCCTAAGCGCCTCACCTTGATTTGTTCACTGGGCTTGGTCTCCTCTGGGGCCCTCGTGTAGGCTCCTCATTCCCCGTGTCTGAATCCCCACTGCACTGTCACTCACATCACCCAAAGGGGCCTCAGGAGCCAATGGAAACTTCTCCTCAGTCACTTGTCCCGAAAGCTGGAATCTGAGACCCCTCAGTCCAGCCCTGCTTCCATCACCTTCCTGCTTCATGATGGCCAGTTTGTCAGTGCTCCCATCATAGGGACAGGGGCTCCACAGTCGGCTTCATTTTGGGCGGTTCCTCAGGTGTGACATGCACCTCACAGCCACAGTGTGGGTTGGCTTCTGTGAGGAGGCCAGGCAGGGCTGGGCCACTCAGGCTGGGCTTTTTGGCATTCACACTGCTCCTCTGCGGCCTTTATTCTCCGTTCCTTAAGCCATTGGTTCCCTTTCTCTTACCCTCCCTGCTGGCAGGGTAGGGAAGTTTCTGGTGATGAGAGCAGCTACATCAGGACCTGGGAAGAGGTGGGGCCTCTGGGCCCAGAGGTGTTCCTTGCTTAGGACCAAAGGACTGGAATAGGCCTCAGAAACTGGAAAATACAACCCCTTAGCTGGAGAAAGAGAGGCCCAGATTTGCACACAGTCACATCTCTTCTCTGAATATGCTTAGCTATTTGCTTGTACAGACATGGGCTCTCTCTGTGGCTACCAAAGGATATGGTAGCATGGGCTGCCTCTGGGTTGGGGACTGGGCACTAGAAGGCAGGGATGGTTCGGTTCCTGACCCATGTGATGTTACCTTTTAAAAATGTAAATAAGAAAAATACAAGTCAAAAATCTCCTCTCCATCCCTCCCAGGGCTCCTTTAGGGGATTAACCATCTTCTGGGGATCAGGCAAGCCCGTTGATATGCTCCCGTGGGAGTAGGGGCTGCATCTCAGCTAGCCCCTCAGTGTCCCACCACGGCTAACCTCAGGCAAGCCAGCACCTCCTTCACAACTCAAGCACATCCTTTCTTTCCCTATGCCTGCTGCTGGTTTCAGGGTCCCCTATGCCAGTGGTACCACCACAGCCATCCTGCACTAGCCCACCTTCCTTCCTACGTTCCTAGTCTGTTGACTCTGCTTCCTACAATCTGTCCTCAGCCCACACCTCTACTGCCCATCACATCCTGGGATAGGCTAGCCTCCTGGTGCTCTTCTGATGCCTGCCTCTCCTCCCTCTGGTCCATCCTCCCCATACCTGAGCCCCAGTGAGCTTCTAAAACTACAAAGCTGGTCACACTACTCTCCTGCTTAGCTCCTCCTGCAGCTGACCATGTTAGTGCTCTGCCCAGATCCCTTTGGATGCTCTGTCCCATTTTCGTGCATGACGCCCCCTTCAGAGTGCTCTCAAGGTTGACACCTGTGGCTCTTGGAGGGCTGCCCTTGGCCTCCTGGAGCTGCTTTGCCCCTGGGTCACAGTGTAACCTGTGACTGCTTGGTGGTGGTGGTGAATGAAAGCCTGGCTCCCTTCTCCCAGACTGGGGCTACCCTGAGGCCTTACACTCCAGAGCTGTTCCCTGGGCATCACTAAGCCACCCTCCACAGCTGAGATGGCGCACTTGCCCCCTTCACGGGCCCCCCCTGAGCGCACTTCCTTAATATACCCCTCAGCATCTAAGATGAATCCCTCAGTGGAAACCTATTGCCCACAATTTAAATCTCAGTCATCTATCTTCCCTCATCTTGCTCTCTGGAAATCTATCCAATACCACATGTATATTTAAGCCACCCCAAACTTCTAGCTGTTCTGCCATACTTTTGTGTCTTAGTACTTGCTTTTTCTCTTTAATTAAAAAAAAATTAAACCTCCTCTCTCCCCCTCTCCCCCCATTCTTTAAGTCTCTGGACAGTATCATTTACTTCAATTCTCTAATGGAGCTAGTTTCTTCCTCCTGTATTCTCAGGGTAAACTTTACTACAGCATCTGTCTCACCAAATTTAATTCATCTTCCCTGGTGCCTAGCATGGTGCTGGGCAGAGAGGGGGCGTTAAATACATGTTTTTTGAATGAATATTGATACCCCAGATGTTCTAAGACTCTCTACTACTGGGCTTCTCAGATCTGGAATCTCTTTTACCTTCAATCAAAACTCACTGTCCACGTTTCATTCTCTCTGAGCTCTGCACTCTATTGCTCATGTTTCTAAGATTAATTAATCTTGTTGGAGGGAAGCAGGGTAGTGGACTGTATAGAGCGCGGTTCCTTCTGGTTTCTTGGGAAACCAGAAACCCAAGGTCAAACTCCGTGTGGTGGGGACCCCTGGTGCCCCAGTGTGCTCACTTTCTTCAGTACATGGAGGGTCTAGATGACTTCTCAGATCTTCCAGGGCTGAAATGCCAGTCCTTTGTGGGCTGAGGCCTCGTTTGTCTTGTTCTCTGCTCTCCCAAAGCCAGGAATGGTGCCTGGTGCAGAGGATGCTCTTGGATATTTGTTGAGAGAAGGAATTGAAAATTTCAAGGGCTACATATTGCTTGGTGCCTTATATATGTTATTTCATTTAATTCTCAAAGGGGTAGAGTTAGGATTTATATGCAGATTTGTCTGACTTTGAAGCCCATATTCTTCCCAGAATATCTTGGGGCCTTTAGGAGAAAAGGCCATCATGCAAGGATTTGTTCCAATGATGACTTCTAATGATGGCTGTGGAAGGCTGGAGGAAGAAGGCAGCCCTTCTTCTTCTGCTGGCATGTGGGCAACTGCCTCTGCCCCTCACCAACCTCAGGGAGTAAGAGAAATTTGAGGTGGTGAGTGGAAGGCAGAGAGGGTGGAAACCCGATCACTGTGATCTAAATGCGGTGCCCGGGCAAGTGGTGGCCTTCAGGTGCACAGTTCCAGTCACGTGAAGATAAGCCGACTCTTGCAAAAAAAAGCCCTGATTGGTAGCTTTTCTTGAATTCTGTGGTATATATACTCTCACTATGGCTGATTTTAAACAACCAACAGGAAGCCAGTGACTGCAGAGTTGGAAGAGATGTGCATAATCAGCCATCACAAGCCAGTGAGCTGCCCAGCACACCCCTGGAACAGTAATGGGGGGCTGTCCCCAGAAAGCCATAGGAAGATCACAGCTTCTACAGACACTGTGGGCAGCCTGGGGAAGCCTGAGCTCTCACCCTGCTTTTTTTGAAGATTGGAAATGATCTCTGCCCCTCTGATTCACAGCAGCCATCCCATTACCTCGATGGCCATCTAGGCTGCCGAGTGGAAGGCTCCCTCAGAGCGACCCTCGCGGCTTCTCGATGGAACACACCTTACCTCAGGCTGGGACAGCTCCCAAGGGAGGCAAGGCAGCCCTAAAGGGCTCTTGTGATCAGTTCTTCAGAGAGCAATTCAGGTGATACCATCGCGAGAGGAAGGATGAGAGAGTCAGTGCCATCAGTTATTCCTCTGCCCTCACTTGGATTTGGGCAGTACTTTCCTCCTAAATTCCAGGAAATCATCAACACCAAGAATCCGCCCTCACTAGGTCGGGCTCACCCAGAGATCAGGTCCAACTGGAAGGCAGCAGGCATCCCTGAAGAGAGGGTGGAATGAGGGGGCGGGAAAGCAGTGCGAGCCTGGGGGTGTGCCTGTTTCTGGCTGTGGAGGGACCCTGCTCCCAAGCTGCGGCATGGGAAACGGGCCTCGCTGCTGAAGGGCAGGTGCCCCTGAGATGGGAAGCTCTCCAGGAAAGAGCAGGACCAACTCTGGAGGAAAGGGGCCTTGTCCTGGGGATGGAGCTCGAGAGAACCTAAATTTTTGCTTCTCTTTGAGTCTTTCTTGCAAGTACTTAACACTTTGCTAAGCACAGAATCAGCACTCAAAAACATCTTGAAGAAGAAATGAGACCTTTATTAGTCCCCAGAGCATTTTTCAATACAAGGCAAAAAGTAAACTGTAGAGGCAAGGAGGAACGAGGCACAAAGATGAACCTGTAAGGGCCCCCACACACCTCAGAGGCCTTCTCTTCCTGTCAAGGGGGTGTGGTAGGCGGGAAAGCTGCCTTGTTCCACTGAGACAGGCCCAAACACCCAGCCCCAAGGAGAAGATGAGCAGAGTTGTGACGTGAAGCCAGGGGGGTTAGAACTTGCTGGTGTAGAGGGTCATAATCCACTTGTGCATCCGGAGGAAGCCGGGCAAGTAGGAGGCCAGCCAGCCCAGGCTGGAGGTGTGGGAGAGAACGGAACTCACAGACAAATAGTCCTGGACGGGGCGGCCTGGGCACAGCAGGAAGAGGAGGAGGATTAGACCCTGATTCCCCTCCTCAGACATCCCCACCTTGGCCGAGGAGCCTGAGCGGGGTGTGAGGGAGGAAGGAGCAGGGAACAGAAGGAAGAGAGGGCCAGGCTGGCTGCTGGGCCAGGGCTCTTACCATCCATGTCCCGAAAGCCGTAGCGTCGAGCAAGGTCACAGGATGGCAGTACCTTCCCACTCAGGCTCAGGATATTGGGATCTGTGGGCACACAGACAGCTGAGATGGCAGGGGAGTGGCGCGGGGTGACAAGCTTTGGGCCCAATGGGACCGCGCACCACTGACACACCACAGGAGCCCAGAATTGTTTCTCTCTGTTCCTAGGAAGGTTCCTGGGCCTCTGGCTCCTGGTCACACCTCCTAGGAGCCAGTTTCTGAGGCTCCCAGACCTCCACTGGGCATTTTGATCCTCTGGGTCTCCAGAAGCCAGAGAAAAGAAGGGTGTATTCCTCAACCACCTCCTGAGCCAGGACTCAGAACTGGCTGCCACCACGCCACAGACCCACCAGGCCCTCTCGTTATCAGCTGCCCCCAACCTCTTCACCTGTTGCCAAAGCCACCACACATTTGCCACTCAATTCTGTCGTCTCCCCTGACGAGAAGCGACCTCTGATCTGAAACACAGGGGCAGAGAAGTGAGGTTAATTTCCAAGAGCACTGCCCAAGTCTCTTTCCCACTTTCAGCTTCTGTTCTGGAGAGACACCCTCTCACTGTCCCTGCAGGACTTAACATCTGGGAAGGTGCTGGAGCCACTCCTGCCCACAGTCAGGTGAGCCCTGCACCCAGCACCAGGACCACTGCCTTTCCTCAGTGCAGGGATCTGGGGAGGCCAACTATGTCTGGACCTTCTAGGTTAGTTCAGTGTGCGGGTCAAGGGCATGGGCTTTGGAGCTGGACAGCCTTTCCACTTATGGCATATGTGACCTTGAGCATTTCTTAACCTCTCTGGGTCTCGGTTTTGCCACCTGTAAAATGGAGATAACATCTCTCCTACAGGATTAAAGGACATGACCTGTGACCAGTGCTCAGCCCTGCGTCTGCCACAGGAAGCACCGGGTATTTACTCTCTGATGTTGTTACTGTCCTGTCATTAAGGATGGAGAGGCTGACCCCCCTGCATCCTCTGCCTCCCTCGCCCTCCCCTTGCCAACCAGATCAAACATGGGATCCTCAGTGTTGTCCTTCATCACGTGCTCCTTCAGCAGTTCTGTCTGCACCACCCCTGACCACAGAGACACACAGCTGACCCCGTAGCGCTGCAGCTCCTGGGCACAGTCAGCAGCCAGCCTGTCGCACTGTAGAGGGACAAAAGGCACGATGAGAGTTAGGGCACCTGGCCATGTCACCTTCCTCCCCTACCCTCCATGTGTCTGCTAAGGATGCCCCAGCCCTCTGCCCTTCCCAGGAGCCCTGTCCAGCTGTGCACCCTCCCCAGTGCACTGCCACTCTGGCCGGCGGAGAGGAGTCCAGGGGAAGGAACTGTCCATGGAGGGACAACGGGAGAGGTGACGGCCAGTCGTCGACCTTACCACTGTGACCACTGGAGACTGTACCACCTGAGCTATGGGTACTGTCACTGTCCTATACTTCCCCCACCCCGTGCCACTGGGTCCTCACCGCAGCCTTGCCCACGCCATAGGGGACGTTGAAGAGATACTGCAGCCCTACCACGGCGGAGATGACCGCGATGAGCCCCCGGCCAGCTGGTACCATCAGCCGCGCCCCATACACCGAGCACAGTTAGTGGCCTCTAGAGGTGGGGCAAGGAAGGAGATGGAATGAACTATGTTCAGTGCTGGCCTGGGTGCTGTAGCGCTGGTAGCTTCCTGTGCCCCCTAGTGGCTGCAGTCAGCCGAGAGGAGGCCACAGGGGGCAGCCACATTCTGGGAGGAACACTGGTAAAATGAACCACCAACAGATGAGAAACAGCAATCTTTAGAAGATGATGGAAGAAAAGAGCTCTGTCATATTAGCAATAACAAAGCTAAAATAGCTCAGGGGAAAAGACATAAGAAATATATAGGATCTACATGGGAAAACTATAACATTCTGCCTAATATAAAAGAATAGCACACACAATTTGTTCAAAGAAGTTTGTTCAACATGTAAACCATCAGTTCTACTTATATTAATCCATAGATTCAATCAATTTGAGTTATATCTCACTGAGACCTTTGAAGGAATTGACAAAATAATCTAAAGCTGAATGAGAATAATAAACATGTGGGAACAGCCAGGAAATTCTGAAAAAGGAAGAGTAGTATCTTGTGAGTGAGAGGGCTATGCCCTTGACCCCGCCCGCATTAAGATGTACAATGATATAGTTAAAGGAATGCGGCACTGGTATCACAACACACAGAGAAACCAATGAAACAACAGTCACTAATCAGATCCACGTGTAAAGGAGAATTCAGCAAGTTATAAAGGGAACATTTCAAGTCAACAGAGAAGGATGGATCATTGAGTAAACGGATTTGGGACAACTGGCCAGTTATTTGGTCTGTTGGATTGGCTCTCTACCGCATTTGTTATTTCAAAATGAATTCCCAAAGAATAAAATATTTGACTACTAAAGGAACGCACAAAAGTACTAAAAGAAAGCATGATTGAATGTGATTACAAACTTGAGGTTGGGAAGGGGCTTTTCGTAGCATCGCACCAAGAGAGAAACTATAAAAGACTGACTGATTTGACTTCTTAAAAGTCAGACATATATCATACGTACAAATACACTCATCCATGTCTGTTTTTGTATATATATAGAGAGCCAGGGGGAGCACGCATGGAAAAAAATGAGTAGTAAATTTGGAAAAATATTTGTAAAACATACATCAAAGGAATCTATTCCATAAAAATCTCTTATAAATCAATGTGAAAAGAATAATAATTTAATAAGACAAACAACGACTCAAAAGACTAAAGAGCCAATAAACAAATGGGGAAAAAGCCCAACCTCACAAATAATAAAAGAAGCAGGAATGAAAACCGCCTTCAGATACCTCTGGCCTATCAGAGTGGCAAAGCTTGCCTGGCTGAATGGCCTGATATTGTCTAGCATGGCTGAGGACATGGGGAAACAGATATTCTCCTTCATTGTCATGAGATTATAAATTGGTGGGGGCTTTTTGGAGGACAGTTTGATAATGTTTATTAAATCTTTAAGAAGTACAGATTTCTGACCTAAGAATTCCACTATTGCAACAGATAATGGATTAGATAAACAAATCATGGTACCTCCTCCCCCAGTAGAATATTAAAAAGAATGATATTAAAAACAACAAGAGAGCCAGCGCTGATGGCCTAGTGGTTAAAGTTTGGCATGCTCTGCTTCAGCAGCCTGGGGTCGGTTCCCGGGTGTGGAACCACACCACTTGTCTGTCAGTAGCCATGCTGTGGTGGCGGCTCAAATAGAAGAACTAGAAGGACTTACAACTAGAGTATACAACTATGTACTGGGGCTCTGGGGAGGGGGAAAAAAAAAGAGAGAGAGGAAGATTGGCAACAGATGTTAGTTCAGGGCAAATCTTTCCCAGCAAAAAAACCCAAAAAACAAAAAAACCAAGTAATATTTATGTGATAAAACCTGACAGAATACATGTTAGACTATTAACAGTAGCTACATCTCAGTCAAGGGAAGAAGGGGTGGTCATGAGGGGAATAAGATTATACTGGTCTTCACATTTGTCCATAATTTTGTTAAAAATACACACACACTTGGTAATCAGAAAAAAATTTGTTTGGAATGGGAAACAGGACCCTCCAAATGAAAACCAGTAGAGAGAGTTACCGTTTCAAAAGGAAGCCCACTGCAAGGTAACAGAGGGAAGGCACAGTAAATGTGTATGTGAACCCGAGTGCGGAAGGTGAGAGAGGTGCTGGCGGGCTTCCAAGAGGCTCACAAGTGGCCTTTACCTTGGAGAATTCATCAGGGCTCAGGGGCCAGGGTCTGGGCCTCTGCCTTGTGGGCTCAAAACCCTGACCAGCAAGAGATGAGGGTGTGGAAAGCACTTCTTTGCAGGGTGTTGCCCATTTCCAGTTCTTTGGGTTTTCTTTTCTCGCCTCAGGGCTGACCATCCCCTTCCCTCACACTTTCTTCCACTTTGCAAATCACAATTGCTTTCTAATCCTGATTCTTTGTGATTGCCACTAAAGTACCAGATTTGAAGCAGTGGGTGTCCTTAAACACTACAGTCACAGATTTGCAGATAATCTCTTGGTGACCCCTACAGGTGGCGGATCACATCCACAGAATGAGGTTTCTCAGAGGGTACCACTGTTGCAACAATAATAAACAGAGACATAACTGGTGTATATCATGCTGGGCAAAGTCAAGGCTGTGTTTCATCGCCCTCCTGTGCCAGATGTTCGTCTACCCCGTGACGCCCCAGCCCTCCCAACTCTGACCTGGGGGTGCTCTTGCCTCTGGGTCTGGAGTGAGGATGTGGAGGCTAAGATGGCTGGCACCCACTGTTTGTTATTAACCTTCTCTCAACCTAAAACAAAACAATTTTTTCCTCTAACCATTTGTGAAAATATCCACTAGGGGTGGTGTGCATTATTGAGGGAGGAGGTCCCTTCTGGCTCATGCATTTGGATGAGCAGAGAGGGAGGCAAGAGGAAGGCCAAAGGCAAGTTCAGATGAAAATCAGTGATAGACAAGGCAAAAGTTGATGTTCCCAGGTACAGACTCACCTGGATGGAACTTCTCCCGAGGTAAGTGGGACAGATGGGACAGAAGAGAGAAGCAGGAGATGGGGGAGGCCAGAGGGAAAAGGAGAGGGTGTATGGGGAAAGGCCTGTGCCCTCAGCGTGCCTAAGTGAGTGAGGGGGGCCCAGGCCCTTGCAGCAGGGCATGGGGAACACCCACCTCAGTCCCACGTTGTTCATATCATCCCAAATGGAGGCGGGGCTTTCCCAGAACGCCTTCTTAGTGTTGTTGAGGATTGTCTGGAAGGCACAGGGAGGGTGATGAATTAGAAGATCTGAAGGCAGGAAGGTATGGGGGGCTGGATCAAATGGAAGGGACAATGAGGAGGACTCCGGGGTCAGAGGAGGAGGTAAGGAGTGTGGAGTTGGGGTGGAATTCAAAGGGTACCTGGATTCCAGCACAGGCGTTGTTGACCAGCACGTCCAGACGCCCCTGTTCCTCATTCACCTGCTCAAACAGCCTTTGCACTTGACTATCCTGGCTTGAATCACACACCACGGGCACACACCGGCCCCCTCGGGATTGCGCCTAGAGAGGGACAGAGGATATATGAGCTCATGGTCGCACACAAGTGTGAGACATGACGCAGCTCCCCTCAACTCCCAGCTTGGGAGCTGAGAAGGCAATCATAGGAATCAGAGCCAGCCGCTGAGGGAACATGGGGGCGCAACACTGCCCTCTGCTGTCTGTCTGAGGAGTTTCAGGAATACTAGGTCCTCCCATTAGAGAGCGAGGCGGATTGGGATTTCGGGTTTAAAATCCACAAACGTTTACTGGGGCCTACCATGTGCAAGACATTGTACTCTGCATGTGGAGGGTAAGGGACAAATAAGGCATGGAAGCTGCTCTTGAGAAATAAGTATCTATCTTTTTCCTTGTCCTTGGTCATTTCCATCTTGCAGGCCCTTCCCTCCCACCCTTCACCACTCACATAGAAACCCTACTCAGTCCCAGCCCTCTTGCCCTCACTCCACCAACGCTCCTGCCTGGTAAGCGAGAAATAAAAGCTCTCAGGCATGAACTCTTTCTACTTCCCGTTCTGCCTCACCCTCTACAAATGTGCCCCCATCCTCTAACTTCAGAGGAAGAAGAGCACCTTATTCAAGAACTGTTCTCCAGATCCACACTCTGGGTCCCACCCTCTTACCTCCTTGCCTCCCAACTGCTCACCTGACCTCCAGTCTTCCTGCCTAAGTTCATTCTTCATACTCCAGCCAGTATGAACTACCTAAAACACAAATCTGTATAAAATCTTTCAACAAGATCACCATCTCTTAGAGAATAAAGCCAAAGTTCTCTACCAGGGTCTTCCAAGACCCATTCTCTTTCTTCTCCAGCCTCTCACCTACCTCTCCACCCCTGTACTTTTATGCTCTGGTATTATTTCTCACAATATCCACACTCTTGCACCATCTTCCCTCTGCTCGTGTAGCTCCCTTTGCTGGAATGGTTTTCTTAACTTCCTTCACCTAACTCTTACCTTTCAAGACTCAGTTCAAGAACTACTTCCTCCAGAATGCTTTCCCTAAACACTCTCCCATATTATCTCAATACCCACTCCGTGCTTCCAGAGCATTCTGTGCCTCTCTCCCTCTTGTCACTTACCTCATTTGCATTACAGTGAAATGATTCGTTTCTGCCTCTGACTTCCTGCTAGACTCTATCTTTTAAGAGCAGAAGTTGTATCTTATTAATCTCGCTAACACCAGTGCTTCATCCAGTACCTAGCAAACTAAATGTACTCAAATATTTATGTAATTGAAATCCAGCGGAAAAGTCAAGTAAAAGTGTACAGTTCAATCAAGTCTTGCCTAAAATACAGGAAAGCACAGGTCCACAACTCTTTAGTTGCAACTCCAAAATCCGTGAAGCTCTCAAACAAAGTTTTTTCAGAAAACTCACTTGGTGGGAAAATGTGACCTGATCTGAGGTTATTCCTGGGGTTTATTTATTCCACTTTGAGTTAATATTCACATTGTGTTGAGGAATATCATAGTTCCAGGTAAGGGATTAGGTGAAGGAGTGGCTAATGGAAAGGGCTCCCTCAGGTGGTTTCTGCCCCGTGGTCCCAGAGGAAGCACTCACCTCCTGAGCAGTGACCCGCAGCGTGTCCAGATGGCGGCCAGTGATGTAAACTGTGGCACCTGCTTGGCAGAGCTGCAAGGCGATGCCGCGCCCAATACCCCTGGAAGCACCAGTCACCACGCACACTTGGCCCTTCATGGAAGCTGCCATGACTCACAAGCAAAGAGGCAAATCTGTGGAAGCAAAGACTTGCTCTGAACGGGCCGGACCCCTGGCTTAGCGGTTAAGTGCTCGAGCTCCGCTGCTGGTGGCCGGGGTTCCAATCCTGGGCGCGCACCGACGCACCGCTTCTCCCGCCATGCTGAGGCTGCGTCCCACATACAGCAACTAGAAGGATGTGCAGCTATGACATACAACTATCTACTGGGGCTTTGGGGGAAAAAATAAATAAATAAATAAAATTATTAAAAAAAAAAAAAAAAGACTTGCTCTGAAGGAAGCCTGCAGATTGTCTATAGGGGTGGGGGGGACCCCCATAGTGGTAGGAGGGGAGCCAGGGTTGGGATCCTTGGAGGGGAGAGAAGTTTCAGAGGAGGAGAGCTGAGTGCAGGCCACAGGGCAAGGCCGGCTGTCTCTTTTGGGAGGTCCCGGAGTGAGGAAGGGGACTGGGTGGGACTGTCCAGGACACCTACTGAGACTCTGAGTGGGGCTGGCTGGTGGGGGACTCTGCGCGGCGTCCCTCACGGCGCGTCCGTGGAGAGTCCTGGGCTATCTGGAGCTCTGGCCCCTGGTCTGGCCCAGTCAAGCCGAGCCCGCAGGGGCGGCTTCCGGATCGGGGGTGAGCGCGAGGCCCAGGGACCCTGGACCTTACGTGGGGGGAGCTCCCGCCTCTTACCTGCCACCTGTTTGCCTCTGGAGTCCCGGCGCCGCCTCTCTCATAAGGTTCTCAGAATCGAGAACTTTGACCCGCCCACCGGGGCAGGTTGAGGTGACTAGACTGGGTCAGAGTGCGCGGCTGGCGTGGAAGGCCGCGCGCTGGCCGGGGTTCGGCTGACGACCTAGGCAGGATCAAAGAGCGCACCTCCGGACCGGGGCGCTTCTGGGCGAGGCCAGGACGGGCGCATGGAGGCGGGGCGGTCTGGGGATACACCCCCTCTCGCCCGGCTCGGGCTGTCGCGGGACTATGACGTTTACTCTGCGCCGGGAGCACGCCGGCGTTACCAAACTCGGTGAGGCCAGGCCCGCGCCAGGAAGCTGGAGGTATCTCGGGCGGCTGAGGGAGCTTTCGCGGGCGGAAAAGGCCCGGGTCACCCATGGGGCTGGGACCGCGCTCCCCCCACAAGGCGGGGCGCCGGTTCCCAGCTGGCGGCAGACGAGGGAGCGGGGCCAAGGAGTCGGGGCGTCCCCGACCAGGCCGCCAGCGACCACCCTGCCTGCTTCCAGACCGGCGCTCGGACCCGGCTCGGGATGCGCAGCCGCACCTGAGCCCCGAAGGTCTGGGGTACTTCCGCCGGGCGCTGTCCGCCCTGAAAGAGGCCCCCGAGACGGGAGAAGAACGAGGTAGGCAGCAACTTCGGGTGCGACAGAGAGGAACTTGTTGGGCATCAAATCCGGATAGACGAGGAAATTTCGTGGCTCCCCAGGGCGTGGGGACTTAGTTTGATCTCCCACATCCTCTTCCTCGCCGCCGCCCCCAACTTGGTTAAGTGATGGAACATAACCTCCTCCTGCTCTCAGTCTCTTTAAAGTATTTCTTTCCGTGTCTTTCCAGAGCTGCTGGTGCACAATGTTTTGAAGGAGGCGGAGGCTCAGGCCCTCGCCTTGGCCACGAACAGGACTGGCAGTGAGATGCTGCAGGAACTGTTGGGGTTCAGTCCCTTGAAACCGCTGTGTCGAGTATGGGCTGCTCTGCACCTGAACTTGCGCTTTGTGGCCTGTCATCGATGCGGGGTCCATGTACTGCAGAGTGCTTTGCTGCAGCTGCCTCGGTTGCTGGGGAGCCCTGCAGAGGAGGAGGAGGAGGAGGGGGAGAGGGAGGGGGAGGAGGACAGGGATGGGAAGGATGGTTCCTTAGAGACCCTGGAGCATCTGGTCCTGGGACTCGCCGCTGAGGTGTGTGAGGACTTTCTCTTCTACTGTGGAGACACACATGGCAGCTTCGTGGTCAGAACTCTCCTGCAGGTGTTAGGAGGGACTCTCCTGGAGTCTGAGAGAGCCAGGCAGCGTGGCTCCCACTCACCTGGTAAGTATTACAAGAGAGAGAAGTCGACCTGGAGGAAAGGAGAGTTGAGGAATTGAGGAATTGAGAAGGAGAGAGGGAGCAGAAGAGTATTTCTTCATGACCTTGAAGAATTAGCAGAGAAATTAGGACAGGGCTTAGCAGGCCAAAGGTTAGCGTGCACAGAGGGCCAGAGGTGAGGTGCATAGGTGTGTTTAGGGGACAGCTGTTAAAAGAATGTGGGCGGGGGTAAGAGTTAATTCATCGGAGCATTGGATTTCAAACCTTTTTTAAACCAACACACATAGTAAGAAATTTGTTTTTTTAAACAAGACTCAACATACATATGTGTCTATGTACACAGACTGGATTCAAGCAGAAGTTCAGGAAACAATACCCTTGCTACGTGCAACCCACTTTGATTTTTTTTTTGCTTTTTTATTTTAATCTGTTCTATTCCATTAAAGAAATGCTTGTTGAGACCCACTAAAATGATTTCATGATACACTCATAGGCAGCAACCTACATTTTGAAAAACTCTGGGAAATAAGGGTAGAGAGTTTAGGTGAGGCTTGATTTTGGAATGCCTTGAATGCCTGGCTGAGGAGTTTGTACTGTCTCCTGTGGATGGTGGGGGAGCTGGTTGAAGTTTCTTAGAAAAATTAAATCAGAAATGTAATCTCAGTTCAATGATCCAGATGAGAAGAGACATTCAGTTGTACCCTGTGTGTTCTGCATCTCCAAGCTGAATCCCTGCTCATCTGTGGAATTCTTGGAGGGCAGTTTGTGATCTCACCCATGCACACGTTCTTGATCTTCCTTCAGAAGCACAAAGGGTCCCAACTTGGGAATGCAAGCCAACTGATTTCGAGGTCCCTGAAACCTTCCTGAATCGCCTTAAGGACCTGAGTTCCTGCTTTCTGAAGGACATTGCTGGTAAGGAGGGAGATAGGAAGGTCTAGGATCTGCTTTTCTGGAGGGGATTATCATCAAACAAGGGCCTTATTTAGAGCAGTCCCATTCCTCTTCTTTTGAATCTGATCTGGTTTGATGTTGAAAAGACTCTGTGCAGCCCCTTTGTGTCCCTAGTCCTTTGTACCTTGACTTGAGGTTTGAGGTTGTCCAGGTCACCTGGATTTGGGGAAAGCTGCTTTTATGATTTCTGCCTTCTCCCTGCAGTGTTTATCACTGACAAGATCTCCAGCTTCTGCCTTCAAGTGGCCTTACAGATCTTACACCGAAAACTGCCCCAGCTTTGTGCCCACCTCTGCAATGCTGTGATTGGCTACCTGAGCAGCCGCAATTCCTCAGCAGCTGGCAGGTAAGGTCAGGGCCTCATGACTGACCAAGGGTGATGGAGCTGTGTGAAATGAATGAGGTGATGTGGGTATTTCGGGTGAAGTGGAGTTAAGACTACCCGATCACCTTCTCCTTGTCCCCAGTCCCCTCCTGCTATTTCTGCGGGATCAGACGAGCTCCAGACTCCTAGAGCAGGTGCTGCTGGTGTCAGAGCCCCTGCGGCTCCAGAGCCTCTTTGAGGATCACTTCCAGGGGCAGCTGCAGACCCTGGCGGCACATCCTATTGCCAACTTCCCTTTGCAGCGTTTCCTGGATGCTGTCACTACCCCTGAGCTGGTGAGTCGGGAGCTTGGCTGGGTCTCTTTCTGCACTCTGTAGTTTGTGTTGGTTCTTGTTCAGTGGGCCTTATTTTATTGTGAGCTTACCTCTGTATCTCTGACAGTGTGCTGGCCATTCCCCTTGAAAAGTTATTCCTGGGGGTTCCCCAGAGCTTAGGGTGAGGGTGCCTTCTTCCCACAGAGGATTTGCTTTGGCTTCTCTCGGGCGCCAATACCAGCAGGAGACTGGCTTAATCCAACTTGGCAGCTTGAGGTTCCATGGCCCACTCAGACTCTGGGTACTTGGCAACAAATCCATAAGAGCACTGTTGCCATGGCTTCTCTTGTCCTTTGCTGCTTAGCTCGAAGGCATGCTTCCCTGGGATCTCATGGGTTGGGAGTTAGGGTGGAAGGGAGGGTTTAATTTTACCTCGCCTTGAGAGTATGGCCATTTAAAGTCTCCTCCCCATGTAAGGCAGCACCTCTAAGACTGCCCTCTTGTCCTGGACTTTCCTTACCCAGCCCAACCAAAGTCCTGATAACTGGCGATGCCTTTATGTTTTATCTAGCATTTCTAGTTGTTTTTGGCAGGATGGTTTCTCTGAATAACTTAGCCCACCATTACCAGAATGCCAAAGATTCTTTATCCCATGTCTCCCCTAGCTGTCCCCCATGTTTGAAGAGCTGAGCCCTGCCCTGGAAGCTGTGTTGGCCCAGGGTCACCCAGGGGTAGTCATTGCCCTGGTGGGGGCCTGCCGCAGAGTTGGGACCCACCAAGCCCAGGTCCTGCAGCTGTTGTTGGAGGTGAGTGGGTGTTACCTGCAACCCCTCAGTTCAAATTCTACCTGTTGGGACTTATTGAATCTTTAGTGGTTGTATCTCTGGACCTAAGACGTCTCATGTGAGGGAATTCACAGATATAGGGCAAAATGAGGCCAAAGCATCTCATAGCCCTGGAAAGACAACTGCCTCCCAGAACGAAGAGAGAAGTTTATTTAAGAAATAAATGTTTATTCATCCCCTGTTGTGTGTATGGAGGCTGGGCATACAGCAAGGCAGCTGAGGTCCTGTCCTTGTGCAGCTCGTGTTCTTGTGGAGTTAGGCATTCTCATCTCTCATGAATCTTCTCCCTTGTCAGAAAGTCGGGTTGGGATGAGGTGGTTCTCAGAGTCACCATGTTTTGTCTTCTAGGCATTCCACTGTGCAGAGCCTTCTTCCCGGCAAGTGTCCTGTGTGCCTCTTTTTGCCACCTTGATGGCTTATGAGGTGTACTATGGACTGATGGAGGAAGAGGGGGCAGTGCCTGCGGAGCACCAGGTGAGGCAGGGGAGAGGCCAAGCCAGTGACTAATTGGGGGCCAGGTCTCCCACGGCTTAGGAATCCTCTCACCACTGAGGTGAGGGTGGTGAGACCTCTGGCTTCATCCCAGTGGAGGTGGCAGTCTGGTGGCTGCCTCCTAATTCCCTGTCTCTGTCCTCCCAGGTGGAAATGGCGGCAGCCAGGGCCCTGGGGGAAGTGACAGTGCTTGGGTCTCTACTGATCCAGCATCTGCTGCACTTCTCCACTCCTGATCTTATACTTAGAAGTCTGGGTGCCTTGACGGGACCACAACTTCTGACTCTGGCCCAAAGCCCTGCTGGTTCCCACGTGCTTGATGCCGTCCTGACCAGCCCCTCTGTGACACGCAAGCAGCGCCGCCGTGTGCTGAAGACCCTAAAGGTTAGACTTCCGGCTTCTGCTTTGATTCCTCTGCTATCATCGACTTAGAGAATGTGAGCTTCCCCCAGGACTCTCTGTGTCTCTCCGTGTCCTTCAGAGTCACAGAGAGAATATGTAGTTCCTAGACTGTTACGACTCAGCCTCTAAACTTCTGAAAACTTCACTCCCCCCTGCCTCCCCACCCCAACACACTTTTGTGGACTGCCCTAGAGGGACCTACCTTGCTTGTCTCAATGCAGGGACAGTATGTGGCTCTGGCATGTAGTCGCCATGGCAGCCGTGTGCTAGATGCCATCTGGAGTGGAGCAGCCTTGGGGGCCCGGAAGGAAATTGCTGCTGAGCTGGGTGAGTACCAGCACCTCTCTTTGACCTTTCCAAACTTTTCCCTTCCCTCACTCCAAAAGGCTGGGTGGCTGGGTAGTGGACTTAAATTCAGCAGAGACTTCAGTTCCAAAGGGTGGTCTTGGCTGTGGGTTCTTAGCAGTCAGCTCTCCACTTGCCGTGTGTTCCCACCCCTTCTCCCAGCTTCTGTTCTTTGGAGAATGAGGTGTTAACTCTATCCTCAGGCAGGCCCAGGGTCCAGGGAAAACAGAGGGACCTTCATGCCAAGTAGAGTCTCTTCAAGCATGGGTGGGTGACTGCGTGGTGACACAGAACATGAATGGTTCCCTTTGCAGGGGAGAGGAACCAGGAGCTGATAAGAGACCCTTTTGGCCACCATGTGGCTCGAAACGTGGCCCTGACTACCTTCTTGAAGCGGCGAGAGGCTTGGGAACAGCAGCAGGGGGCTGTGGCCAAGCGGAGGCGGGCTTTGAACTCAATACTTGAAGACTGAGGCCTCTGGAACTGGGACTGGGTGTTGATGGGGGCGGGGGAAAGGGAGGATCTATCCTGTCCCCTTCCTAGGTTAAGTTGGAGTCAACACTCTTATTGGTAAACATTTTTATATTTTTATTGGAAATGTCTTTGTTATTTTTGGGGGAAGGGTATGAAGAAATGGAGATGTCAAGGTAAAGTCAGAGAGGGCTGTCCCCTGCACTGGGGAGCTTAGGGACAGGAAGAGTTGTAAGGACATCTAGATGTACCAGCAATCAGGGTGCGGTCAGGATGCCTGGGGCCAGGCTTGTGGCCTTTCAGGGTAAGTGGGAGCTGGAGAGATGGCTGGGAAGGGACAGCATTCTTCAGGAATGGGCATAGGCTAGGGGTGTAAGGCATTATGCTGATGGGGCCTGTCACGATGAGGTCAGAGGACAGTGGGAAAATCAGGTAAGTTATCTGGTCTGCACTGTCTGCTGGTCCCCAGACTTGATGTTGTGACAGTCCTTACAGTCTGTCTCTTGGAATCAGTAGGGGCAGAAGCTCAGAGACCCTTCTCAGTAGGGATGGAGGCGACCCTGCCGCTGCGACTGCCACTGCTCAGCCCCTTCCACTGCATGTCGAAGGGTAGAGGAAATTCCCAGCAATATATGGCCCAGGCCTTGCAGCAGAGTGGAGATCCATCGGAGGAGCTCCCTGAAGGGCAGAGACGAGGGAGTCAGATGGGTAGGGGAACCCGGGAGGAGGCCATGGGGCTAGGGGCTGGGGGTGTTCCACAAAGGGTAGGTGAGTGCAGGAGAAGGGATTATGGGGATTGCACCTGTATGGGGATGAGGGGATGGGGGGATGGGGAAGCATGACATGATGGTCTCTGACCTGAGTACTTTCTTTGGGCCAAGTCCTTGTATGTCACAACTCATGGAGTAGAGCCCGTAGAATGTGGCTTTGATGTTCAGGCTGCCCAATAGGTCTCGAGGGTTTTGCTTGTATACGTCGAAGGTGATGCGGGCGATGTCCTTGCTGTGCTTGGGCTTCTCCCGTCCCAGCCCATATGACAGCATCCCGCTCTGTTGGGCACCCCCATCAGTGCAATGGACCCTCACATACTGACACCCACCACTAATCCCCATCAGCACTGAAACAGACCTGCCCTTGCCTAGACTGTTTGTCCACTGTAAGGTGTCCTTGACAACTCCTCATCTCCCCCATCGCCTCTGCCCCCAAGATCAGGGTTAGCCACGAGAAGAGGCTTGGGAGAGAGATGAAGGACTGGTGGCCTATAGCAGCACCAGTGTGGGCCTCACCCTGCTGGGGCTCCAGCTCTGCCCAGACTCCAGCACCATCAGGCACGTGTCATCCTCCAACAGCTGGAAGAAGTCCTCACTCTCCACGGCGGTCCCATCCTCCTCTAGCACAAGTATCAGCACTCCGCTCAGCAGCAGGGTCTCCAATGCCTGCCCAGTGGCAGGAAGCAGGAGGGAAGGGGCAGAGCTTATCCCATGCTCCTTCCCTCTCCAATGGCCCAGCATCCATCCGTTGGCCTTAGACGCTGGTTGATAGCCCAGCTCTACTCCCCGGGGCTTTGCCATCCCTTCAAATGGCTCCAGCTGTGTTCTTAGTTGTTGGGGGACCCTCATCTAGGGGCTGGCCGTTTTTTCCTATTTGTTCCTGCTTTGCTCCTACCTTGTCATTGTCATCTCCCCCTGCTTCCCTCCAAGTCACTTCTGCTTGAAATTGAAAAGCTAGCCGGGTTTTCTTGAAGTCAATCCTTCAGGAATGGGTATAGGCTAGGGGTGTAAGGCATTATGCTGGTGGGGCTGTCATGACGGGGTCTGATCTCCGATGTCCCTCCTTACTTTTCCCCATCCTTACAGAGGTCTCCAGAACTGTTTCCACTCATAATGACTTTTATCCTTGAGTCTTCTATGTAGCACTGTGCATACATTATCCTCTTTACTCCTTTCAATAACCCTAGGAGTAGGTGTATCATTCCCTTTTTATAGATGAAGAAACTGAAGTTTTTTTTTTTTTTTTTGTGAGGAAGTTCAGCCCTGAGCTAATATCCAAGCCAATCCTCCTCTTTTTGCTGAGGAAGACTGGCTCTGAGCTAACATCTATTGCCAATCCTCC